TGTATAAGGCAAGCGAATAAATCAGGTTTGGTTTTTTTTTTTTTTTTGGTTTTTTTTTTTTTTTTGGCTTTTTCTGTTACTGAAAAGTATATTACAGCCCCTTACCATAGACCAAAACAAAGGCAATGGTTGGCAGTAAATGTCCTCACCTGGACAGTGCGTTAGCAGTGAACAGAAACACTCAGTGTTGTGGAGCAGAGATTCAAGGATGGTTGCCAGTGTGTTGGTGTTTAAGGCCCTACCTGTCGAGGCCCTACCTCACCACACTGTACAGACACAACAGCCATACGGACTGAAGAGAGCAAACTAAATTCGTGACAAAGAGGAGTTACTAAAGTTTTTAAAAAACAAGTTTGAGACAATACTTGGCAGTTTAGAAGAGCAAGAAACTAAAGGATGGTAGTAGAAGACCCATGCAATCAGCCAGGCCTTAGGTGACCGGGATCCAGCTAGGAGTGGCAACTCAACAAAGCAGTAGCTGAGACATCTCAGTGCCCACATTCTGAGCCCGGCCCCTTCATAATAATAAAGCCAGTGGGTACTGGTACCTGGCAGAAGTGTTATATTTGTGTTGGAAACTGATGCTTTACTTCCTCAAGCAATTACTTCTTTTAATCTTGGGCTGAGGTGTTTTTTTTTTTTTTTTTCCCTAGTTTGGTCCTGATATTTGGTTTATTTTACATGGACAGACGTGTTTCTGCATAGACCCTGTTATATATTTCCTCTCAGAAATATATTATGTACAAGTGAGTCTAATTTCAAGAAAACTTTATCCAAAAACCTAGTCAGTCCAGTTCCCTTGAGTAGTTGTCAGATATTCAGTTCAGTGGCCCCATCCCTGCTCACAACAGCGGCTGTGCACACAAATATGTCTTCTGTGATTCCTTGTGCTTTGCCGGGTGTTGAAAGCTCCACCATGTGGAACTGGCATACTTGTAAGCCAGGAGATGATGTGGGCATGCCCTCCCTCCCCTTGCCTGTGCCAGCCTCTTTCAGGGAAGGGCTCCCAGATGTTAGCCATGTAGGAATGGGAAGCTGCCCAGCTGTGATTTTTGGTTTATTTTGAGTCTTAGTTAGGGTTTCCATTGCTGTGAAGAGACACCATGACCAAGGCAACTCTTACTTGACTGGGGCTGGCTTACAGTTTCAGAAGTTCAATCCATTATCATCATGACAGGAAGCATGACAGCGTGCAGCCAGACATGGTGCTGGATGAGCCAAGAGTTCTACTTCTTGATCCTAAAGCAATCAGGAGGAGACTTCCTTGCTGGACAGCCAGCAGGAAGGTATCTTCCACACTGGGCAGAGCTTGAGCATAGGACCTCAAAGCCCCAGCCCCACAGTGATGCACTTCCTCCAATAAGCCCACACCTACTTCAACAAGGCCACACCTCCTAATAGTAGCACTTCCCATGGGCCAAGCATATTCAAACTACTACATTTTACTTTGGTTTTTTTGAGGCAGGATCTTACTATGTACCTTAGCTAGCTTGGAATTCATAGAGATCTGCCTGCTTCTGCCTCTCAGTGCTGGGGTTATTGTGGACCACCATGCTGTCTTCTGGCTCTCTGAGGATACCTGTATGTACATGCTGCATGTATAAACAAGCAAGTACACACACATACACATAAACAAGATATAAATCATAGGCCAGATGTAGTAGTACATGCCTTTAATCCCAGTACTTGAGAGGCAGAGGCTGAGAATCTCTATGAGTTCAAGGCCAACCTGGTCTACATAGTGAGACCCTTTCTCAAAATAATAAATAGTATTAAATTAATAAAATGTTATTAATATAAATTAATAATAAATATTATTACTGTCTGTACATATATCTTCAGGTTTCTGAATGGCATGCTAAGTATTTAATGAATAATGACTAGGCCCAGTCCCTGTCACCTAGGAGTGTCAGCAATCTTCGCATTTGTTTTTCTTTTAATGATATAATGTCATCAGACACTCAGGTACCCATGTTTCTGTACATATTTCCTGTATAGTTTTTGATTTCTCAAGACTAACCTCTATCTCAAGCTACTTCTTTAATCTATGAGTAATTCTATGTCAGTATTTCTGCTTCTAACTCCTGCTTCCAACATTTTTACCTCATTTTAATTTTTTCTGATATTGCTTCTGCATTGGTTTTAAACACAGACTGCCATAGAACTAACCTGTATCTCCAGGCTGGCCCTGAGCTCATGATCTCTCTGCTTGGCTTCTCAGAGTTCTGGGATTGCAGGCATCACCACTACGCTCAGATCAGTCTCTTTGTAGATGACTGCAGTCACTGTGCTATTACTACTTCCATCATACTGAAGGGACCTCAGCCTGTCTAGATTTGTGCCTCATGACTAAGATGTTATGGCCCCTTTAAGTCAGGTTAGTACTATCTCATCATCAGCGCATATTGACCAACCTAGCTGACTGATACAAAATGTTCTCAGGCCTTCTAGCTGACCTTTTTACTGTGTTGACAGAGCCTTAAAGGTTTTATGTGACGAGCTTTTGTGAGTTTGAATAACACAGCCTAGGGAACACTTTGCCCAAATCTGTCCTCTCTCCTCAGTCCCGAGAACCTTTACTAGCCTGGCCCATGTTTCCATGACAAGTCATAATGGTGTCATGTGCTGGGGCAAGCTACACAGCAGAGTGAACATGGTATGGTCTTGAAATACTGTTTCTGAAAGTTCCATACTTCGTTCTATTTATTTTCTTCCAAGACTGACCTTGAGATAGTCCTCTTACCTGAGCCTCCCAAGCACTGAGAATATAGGCATGAGCCAACAACAGCAGCTTTCCGTCCTGTTAAACCAGAGCCATGCTATCTTCAATACCAAATCTGAGGTACAAGGCAATACTTAGATCCTCAGTACAACCAGGATTTCAGCCTGTAAGGATTGCCCTGCCCCCCACACCAGTCACACTATGTAAATAGGGCTGTCCTGGAGCTTGCTAGGAGCTCACTATGTAGACCAGGCTAGTCTTGAACTTAGTTAACAAAGATCCTTCTCCTTGGCCTCCCTGGTGCCCAACCAATCTCACTTTGTATTATAGCAAGTAGTGACAGCAATTTTTTAATTGCACAATATGTCTCTTGTGGCAGTGTCCTTGCCCAGTGAGAGTTGGAGGTGTGCTTGTCTCAGAGAAGCATCCTTCCCAGCTGCAGCTTAGTCCCTCCATGCTGTAGGTGTGACAGGAAGCCTCTGACTTCTCAAGTGACCCAGACAGGGCTCAGTGACTCTATCTGGCTACTGGAGGTTGGAGGTGGCAAATAAGTCCCAATGCTAGCAACTGGCTTTCAGCATAAAGAGCTCCTTTCTTGGCTAAACAGGCCTCAAGGGACTTCTTGGTGCTCATTGAGTTTCGAGTCCATCTCTCTCTCCCTTGTAGGAATAAAAAATATTCTCCAAATTTCCCCATCTCCTTTGTGTAGCTCCTTTGCAGATCACTCTGCCCTCACACCCAGACCTGCAGACCTTTGAAGAGCAGGAGCATACATATCTGCTCCTGTGTCTCTCTACCTGGGTGCAGTGGGGACCACTGCCCCCATAGACCCAACATAGGGAGAGCCGTCACAGCCATATATTGATATATACACTGGGCACGATGGAGGCTTCCTGACCACAGTACCCATGGTGAGGCACAGAAAGAAAAAGCAGAGATAAGAAAGACAGTGACCAAGGAGCACAGGACCCAGACAGGAGAAACTCAAAAGGTTTATCTTCCTTCAGATTTTTCTGCAGTGCTTGGTACTACATTCATCTGTCAGCTACAGTTAGCATGGTCTTCCCTACCTACCCTTACTGTAAGGGTGTAATAGAGAAGCCTGTCTTTCTTTCCAGTGTCTTATGCATGAGAATTACAAAATAAACCTGAGTCAGAATAATATAGAAGAACTGATAATGTGAATTCTATTCTCTCCTTCCCTGAGACAAGGCTTTGTCATACAGCTTGATGCAAGTATCCTCTTGCCTCTGCCTTCCCTAGTGCTAGACTTACATAGATATGACACAATGCCTAGCTCTAAAGTTCTTTATCCCCCTCTGCTGTGGGGGTTTGTGTTTTATATTTGTTTTATTGTGACGTGATCTCATGTATACCAGTCTGTCCTTAACTCACTGTGTGGCCAAGGATAGCCTTGAACTCGTGATTTCAATCTCTCTAGTGCAGAAATTACAGTCATGAGCTACCATGCCTAGTTTATGTAGTGCAGGAGATTAAACCAAGGGCTTCATGCAACTAGGCAAGCACCCTACCAACCGAGTTGTATCCCAGCCCCTAGAATTCTTTTCCAAAAGGCCTTTGGGGTCCTGAGGCAGTCTCCAGTTTGCTGGGGGAAGGGCATGTACATGCATCCTTGAAGGAAACAACAAAGCAGCTTGAAAGCAAGTGGACTGGTGTAGTGTCAACCTCATTACTGGTGAGAGGAGCCTGGAAAAGAAGAAAAGCAGCTGTGGGTGGGGAACCATTAGGATGAGAAAACAGTGGTTCTCAAACAGAACCCACAGGCCTTTGATACATTTTGGGTGTCCCCACTCCCATCAGAGTGTTGAAATGTGGACCTCAGATGGAGCCTAAAATGTTCATCTCTGACAAGTTACCAGGTGGTACTGATGTTGATTTGATGGTCCACATTCCACACCTTAGGAACAGCTCCCCTAGAAATATGGACCTAAACATATGTGAATGTTGTGAATGAACCAGAAGGGTAATTCAGATTTGGTTAAACTTTCTCTTTCAGTTTACCTTAAGTAGCTGAGACTCTAGGCTAGCAGGCCCTCCAGGCCTCTTGATCTATAACTAAATGGTCTCTGAGGTTCCTTTGGAAAGCACCAGTATATTCAATAAGTGGTTGGGACCGAGGACTGCTGTTTACTGCATTCCACTGGCACTCTTCTGTAGAATCAGTTCATCGCTCTCCAGACCTATGCTTGGCCAGGTTTGCCCGGTTTCTCCTGTCCTTTCTTCCCAATGTTTGTGGTGACAGACACTAACTTCTTTTTCTCTTCTGCCTCTTCCCATGTCACACCTCTAGGAGGAAGAGCAAAAACAGTCAGTAAGTGGACGTCAGCATCCCTGACCGCTCCCGCCCTCTGCATGCTCCCCTGCTCCGCCTAAACGTTGCATGCCCTCTCCTCCCTGCTGCCGTCACCTCTGACCCCTGAGGAGTTGGTTATGTGTAATACCCTCAGAAGTTTCCCTCCATTGCAGGGTGCAGTGGCCCATGTCTGGGTCCTGTTTACCTCGAGGAGCATGTTTTGACTTTAAACCCAAGCTTTTTAAATTTGTGCTTATTTAAATACGCATGATTACTGTCATTGCATTTTCATGTTCTTTAGCTTTCTCCTGGTTTGTGTCTTAATTGCCTGAAACAACTTTCAGGTGGTGAGGATGGCCTCAGGTCCAAATAATGTGTTCTGAATGAATTTGCATGAAAGTGGAGAGGCCTTTGGGTAATTGTAGATATCATATGGCCTCAAATAGGCTCTGTCTCCACTAGCCTTCTTGACAAAATTTGTGACTTTTTCCTGCTCTGAGCCTTTGGGGCCTCAGAAAGCAAGTGACACAGGGTGTTTTGAATGGCATGTGTATTAATTAATTAATTAATTAATTAATTAATTAATTAATGATGTTTGGGGACAGTTGGTGTTTGTTTTGCTTCATAGCTGTTAGCATACATAAGAAAATCAAGGGCCTGTTCATAATAATAACCTGGGGTAAACTAAATTCAAGAGAGAAATATAAAATGCCAACTTTAAAAGGGAGTATAAAACATTTCATTTAAAAATAACCCATCTTTTAGGGCTAGAGAAATGGCTCAGCAGTTAAGAACACTAGCTATTCTTCCAGAGGACAGAGGTTCGATCCCTGGCACATACATAGTGGCTTACAACTATTTGTAACTCCAGTCCTGGGGATTCCAGTACCCTGTTCTAGCTACCAAGGGTACTGCATGCACATGGTACACATACATGTAGGCAAAACACCTGTATATATAAAACAAAATAAGAAATAATTACCCATCTTTCTAAAAAAATATAGATTAATGTGTTCGATTTTATTGATGATTTAATTAATAAAATTAAGGCATTAGATTTTATGACATGAGTATGTTCAGCTGGGAGAGCATAGGTAGTGAGCAGTAGAGGCAAGAATAGTGATGAGAGCAGAAGCTCGCTATGAGCCCAGAAATCATGGCTGTGATGTAGAAAGTTCGCTTTGTTTGGTCGGCCTGCTTCCCTGACGCATACAACGTTTTTTTGTCTGTGTCTTTAATGGAATGGCACTTCCCCATCAATAGGTACATTTACCTAGTTGTTGTTACCAATTTAATATGAAGGATGTCATGAAAGATGCAGAGGTACAGATAGGTAAAGAGGTACATACTGCACGGTCTAGAAGGTCCCCAGCACCGGGGTTCTCTCCCTGCCTTGGGGGCTCTGCCCCCTGGCGTGTAGGTGTGTTCACTAACCCCTTCATTCAGGATGATTAGGTTCTGCTTCACAGGGACGGTTGATTCAGTCACTGGCTGTTGGTATTTAACTTCATCTCTATTCCTGTTCCTCAGAGGTCTGGAGAGGGCAGCAAGTTCTAACAATCATGCTGTGGGCTTTCTGGCAAACAGCTCCTTTCCTGAAAGCAGCCTTAGCATACATATACTCTTAACTTTCTGGTGAGTCTCAAGGTTTTTAGAAGCTCTTGTGACTGAACCTAGGCCAGGAGGATATATGAGGCCTTGTGTTCCATCCCAAGCACCGAAAATAAATGAATAAATAGATATTCACATCTTATTGAGGCTAGGGTTCTGCCTCCACCTCAGCCACTCTCTCAGCGCCTCGAATGACCTTACGTAGCAATCCTTCTGTCTCTCCTCCCTCACTCTCTTTCCTTTTCTTTCCTCAGATACAAAGATTATAATTAAGGGAGAACTGCATGGCTTTTTCAGATCAGACTGCTCACCCTATGGTTTACCCTGTAGTTTAAGAAGCTCATTTGAGGAGCCGGGCGGTGGTGGCGCACGCCTTTAATCCCAGCACTTGGGAGGCAGAGGCAGGAGGATTTCTGAGTTCGAGGCCAGCCTGGTCTACAGAGTGAGTTCCAGGACAGCC